GTTACAAGGATCAATGGGAGAAACTCTCAGATACTCCAACATGTGAGATGTAAGTAGAGAAGAATCCAGGGAAAAGTATAGAGGAAGGAATGAAAACAAGAGCCATGGCCGGGCGGTGGTGGCGCACGCCTTTAATCCCAGCACTCGGGAGGCAGAGGCAGGCGGATCTCTGTGAGTTCGAGACCAGCCTGGTCTACAAGAGCTAGTTCCAGGACAGGCTCCAAAACCACAGAGAAACCCTGTCTCGAAANAAAGAGAAACCAAACAAAAAAAAAAAAAAAAAAAAAAAAAAAAAAAAAAAAAAGAAAAGAAAAGAAAAGAAAACAAGAGCCATAATTTCCACAATCAAGGTAGAAGTTATGAAAAAAAGGACTCAGTAATTCTGAATGTTCTAAGGTGATGGAGGAAGGTCATTTGCTAAAAAAGAAACTGGCTTGGCCCATTTTATTGGTTAGAACATAGGTGGGAGGAGTAAACAGAATAGAATTCTGGGAAGAAGAGGAAGTGAGGTCAGACTCTGCTCTGCTTCTGGAGAGACTCGACAGCTCTGCTCTCTGGAGCAGAGATGCCAAGCTCCGCTCTCCCAGGCAGCTCCGACCCAGGATGGACGGAAGCTAGAATCTTCGTGGTAAGCGCACCTTGGGGTGCTTACACAGATCATTAGAAATGGGCTAGTCCAAGTGCAAGAATTAGCCTGTAAGGGCTAGAGTTCATGGGCCAAGCAGTGTTTAAATGAATACAGTTTGTGTGTTGTTATTTCAGGCATAAGCTAGCCAAGCGGCTGGGGTGTTGGGGACGCAGCCCCACCGCTCTTATTTCAACACTAAGGAACTCAAGTAAGTAGAAACAAAGAGTCTCTATGTTTGACAGCAAGTAATCCATGAGTGGCCTTAAGGAAAGAAGAATATATTGAGTTCATAAATGAAGAGGTAGAAACAGATAGAGTGGCTTTTATCTTTAAAGCTTGCTTTAGAGATGCTATGTTTAGAGGATCATATAATCCTGTTCTGCTCAGGCTATGTAAGCAGAGACTACTTTAAAAAACCCAAAACTACAAACAAAAAGAAATAAAGAAGCAAAAAATGATCATATAAAACCAATTAGCATGTTAAATTCTTTGCCGAATTGGCTTCAACTAGAAAGAAGAAAAGCAGCAGAAGTGTCTGAAGGGAACTGGCTACAAAGACCCATGATAAGTAATAAGCATCAGACAATAGGAATGAATGCTGATAGATCCTTCTGAGACAGAAAGAAGTTAGTTCTTAAATAAGACAGAAGGATAAACTTAAGGAAGTACAGGTCACTGTTTTTTATATTCTTTATAAAAAATGAAGCAGTTAGTTAGGCATTTTAGAGTCTTGACTAATATGAATGAACTTGAAATAGTCATTTTGGCAAATGAAAAGAAACATGATTCAGGATGAGAAAGAACACTAATTAACAAAGCTTAGACTCAGTTGAAGTTCAAAAAATCACCCAGAAGACCCTAGTCATTACATGAGACAGCTATGGCCTAAGTTATCTCTGAATATTGCACATGGTGATTAACAGACCTAAGAAACTGATTGTGCAATTAAGGGCGATGCTAGTCATACTAGAATCCAAAGAGTTAGCTATAGAGCTCTCATCATACTGTGATTCATGAACTTTTGCTTTCATTTTCACTTATCAGTTTCTACATATTGGAAAAGCCTTAGTCTAACTGAGTAGACAGCATTTTCTATTATAATAAATCACTTATCCTTGAATTCTATGCTATCCTGGCTTCTTTGAGAACTCACTAAGGCCAGTATTCCTAAGTGGTCTGTAAAATATCTGAAGCCTGGCAATAGAGAGCCCTATATCTCTCTCTGTGACCCAAAAGGAACCCTTCTGCAACTATAGATATGCTTAAAGGAAGCTAGATTTGTCTGTCCTCCAGTTAGGTACGTCAGGCATGTTCTAGCAACATTTCAACTAGGGTTATATCTTTGGTATCATGAAGTAACTTCTGCCCAAGATAAAAGGAGGATTTGGGGGAGTCCCAAGAAGTAAAGTGACCCAACTCAGTTTTCACTGCCATGAGAACGGACTAGATGCTATATAGAGGAAAGAGTTGAGAGCCTTACTCTAGCCTAGTGCCACACTGTATCTCACGTACTTGGAGCTAGTGCTGGGGAAAAGCTCATTTATCTGTTGGAATCTAAAATGCAGGGGCAATTTTTTTATATTAGGGTATTCTTGAAAATTCCTTCTGAAAACATTTGAATGGAGAGCTAGAGGAAGGGATGGTTGAAGTCATAATAATGGCTGGGAATAGAACCATGGTGATGGCTGGTGGAGAAATTTCTAAGCTGTGAAAGCACAAGTCCAAATACCAGTCTTTCACATGTCAGATTTTAGGAGAAGTAAGCCAAAGACACTGAAATGGTTGACCATAGTAAGGAAGGAGATTCGCAGGAGATAAGATGAAATACATAAGAAAGGTTGGTGGCAGTCAGATGGAGTAGAGTATTTTATAAGCTATTAAAAATCATAATTATTACATTTGGTTTTTACTATCAATAAGACAATCCATAGCATGGCTTGAAAGTATTTAGATTTATTAATATTTTAAAGGGTTACTATGGTTACTAAGCTGATAATTGACTCGGGTGAGGGAATTACAAAAACTTGGAGAAAACATGGCTGGCTACCAGAACAGTTGAAGTGAAGGTGCTGAATTGTGGAATTTAGAATGTATTTTAGAGGCAGAAAGTGCTAGTGAATTATATGTGACATTTACAAAAGTAGACACAGGGATTATTCCATGATTTTTGGTCCCATAGGTTAAATATAGGTCCCATAGTATAATGTGTGAAAGAATCCCTACCGATTTCTCAGTGAAGATCAACAAATTATTCTATTATTGGCCAAGTTACAGACGGAGGCAGAGTTGCTTAGAGACATTTTCCAAGTAATACAAGAATAACTTGTGCACTCTGAAGTTTTGTGGCAACTTTTCTTTCAAGGGCCTTTCAGACATGATCATGAAGTACTAGGATTCACTTTGACTGCAAGATGTAATTGTTAGGGGCAAAACAACACGATTTACAAGATTACAGACTGCTGTAGTTTCCATCTGAAATGTCTAGCAAGTATCTATTTGTCTATGGCTTGGACAATGTCCCATTGTACTTGTAGAAAATGCTAAAGCTTTTAAGAAGTGAGGGCTAGTGGGAGATATTTTGGTAACTAGGGGTAAGTCTTTGAAGAAGAAAGTGAGACCGAGATTATTTGATAAGTCTGTCTTGTGAATTTTGGCCATCATGTAAACAGTTTTGTGCCACTTGGATAAGCTCGGTTGTCACAGATCAAAAAATAACAAGGTCAGATAACCATGGCCTTAAATCTCCAAAACTATGAGCCCAAACAAGCTTGTTTTCTTCAAAAATTGATTGTTATTGTTATGGAGTGCTGGCTAATGCAAACAAGAGTTGTTCATGTTGCTTCTGTCCACTGTCCAGACCTTTGCTATTTAATGTATTGTCTATAACTCAGAAGCAACTGCATCAAATGGGAATGTCGATAGAAAGCCAGTCTCGGCCTCATAGCAGTGCTTCTAAGGCAGAATCTGTGTTGTCAGAAGGCATATGTAACTGCATGTGCACACAACCATGTGGGAAGACCCACTGTAGAATTTCAAGGCCTTCAAGAACAAGAATCTGTTCAAGTTTTAAATGCCAAAAGCAAGACTGAGAAAGATAATATGATTTTACACACGAAGTTGGCTTGGGCAAGGGTCCTAATGCCAAGATCAACATTCCTTTTATTACAATAAGGTGTCAAAACTCAACTAGTTCGGGCACTATCATTTGAAGAAGATGGAGAAAATCAGAGGGCCCCTCTTTTAGAAAAAGTCGCCCTTTTTGGAAGAAATGGCAGATTATTCCTCTATGGGTCCCTCCTCTTTATTAGAGACAAAATTAGCTATGTAGGGTAATAATTTTCACTTTAATTTCAGAGATGATGTCAGATTGCCCCAAAAGTGTATGTATTTATTTTTTATGTCCAGTATACACTTGTATGCAACTAAGTTCTAGTCATTATTCTAATCCAATTCTAATTATTTCCTCCAAATGATTTTCAGCCTCTGATACTTGATTATGAATTCCTGTTTATGGCTCTACCCAGGCCAATTTGGTCAAGACACATGCCCTCCTCTATACCTTGGCTCAAGCTTCCACTTCCTCCTATCTATAATGCATTCTAGGACATCCCCTATAGTGTGGCCTGTGAAATCACAAGACTCTCAGAAAGCATCGTTTTTGGAAGAGCTCTTAGAGATACTATGTATATGATATGAGTGTGTGTGTGTATGTGTGTGTGTTTGTACCGTTTATGTATGTGTAGTGAGACCCAGAGACCCAACAGAAGTAACAGAATGTCTTAAAATCAGAGTGAAGTGTTAGAATCCAGTTTTCTTCTTCTTCTTCTCAGTTTTCTTCTTCTTCTTCTTCTTCTTCTTCTTCTTCTTCTTCTTCTTCTTCTTCTTCTTCTTCTTCTTCTTCTTCTTCTTCTTCTTCCCTTTTCTTTTTCTTTTTTTTTTTGTGGTCTTTCCCCAGCTTCAGGTTTCCTGGTAAAAATCTTAATCTTCTAAGAGTACTAATATAAAACTGCAAAGCCAGAGCTGGGAAGTGCCTTTTCCTTGTGTCTGAGAATCCTAACTGTCCCAACATTTGGTTTTCTCTGGAACTCCAAGCCTGCTAAGCCATGCACAGAACTTTGAAAAACTGAGCTGCATTTAGCTGCCTCCTCCCTTCCTGCCCATAGATTCAGTTAGATCCAACTCTAGGCGCTTCCCCCCTCAGGCCCCAGCTTCAGTTCCTGGAACTTTAAAAACTCTTGCCACACTTGTGGCTTGTCCATTGTTTACCAGCCAGACTCACAGCGGCCTTTCAGGGGCGGGGTTTATTTGCATAACCACTCCCAGACACATCAAATAGTCCAATCGTTGTCCCGCATGCCTCACAGAGGAGAGAAGGGGGTATAGGCATAACATGAAAGAGAGGATGGATTTGATCTGTTGTTGCCACACGTGAAAGTGAAATGAATCCAGCAGAACACTGGTTGCAACGGATTTCGCCTATTGTGAGAGCGGTATGCAGGTTGGGGGCTCAGGGGCGGCTATTGGGCAGGGTGTCTGTTCTGTACTCTAATGTGTTTGCTCAGGGAGTCTCTATGTATGATCCATCCATTGATCTTTACAGGTTAAGTGTGGGACCACTCTTTCATTTGGTAGCTAACTAGGGACGGAAATAGAGGACCATATCAGATGTCCCTGTAAGGGTGCTACAAAGTCAGCCTGACTTGGGGAAAAGTATTCTCTAATCAGTCATTTCATCGTTTGAGCCCCGACAGCACTCGCTGAGATGTCAGAAACTTAGGCTGTTATTCCTACAGCCTTGACTAGTCAGTTCCTGCCTGTGCAGGTTCGAACTAAAGCCAGATGGCCGCTGGGAATATGCCCGGACTTGTCCAACAACCTTGTGCATCTGGGATCCAGAGATGAGGAAGAGAGAGGAGGAGGGAATGGATTGGATATTCAGAGCATCCTGCAGAAAGCTGAACTACTTAGCCCACCCACGTGGTGCTTGGGCAAGTCCGGGCCTGTGTAAAGAGCAATTTGGCACTGTGTATGGGGGCTTTCAATCCAGCCTTGTCACCAGTGACTGAGTTTCATTTGATCACTTGCTGCTGGAAGCCGAGCCCAGGACAGTGATATTTTGATCCGGCCTCACCCCAAACACTGGCCAAGACCCAGACAGCTGCAAGAACTGGCGGGGTGCAGGGAGGAGAAGAGACCTGCCAGAGACTAGGCTGGGAAAACAGGCTGGAGGATCTCATTTTGACAGGTTTTGGCGGCCATGGCCAATATCATGTAGGGCAATGGGAGGTAGTAAATTGCGGAACTATTTAGGTGCCTCTCCTGTCCCCTTCACATTTAATAAACATAAAATGCATACTGAATAATAACCCTCTATCACCAAGTTTGAAGCACTAAGCTGTCTACGATAGAGAGGCTGCATCCCCTAGGACTTAACAGACTCATCCTGAGTGGAGGAACACAAATAATACTGTACAAGGCAAATTAAAAAGTTCAGTCAAAATGCTCTCAAGTAGTCAAGTAAGGACCACATCAACTAAAGCCAGAGAAAAACAGAAAAGCTGTTCTCTCTCTCTCTAATTTTTTTTTAGTGTTTTTGTGTGTTTTGTCTTGAGTGGGACTTGTTCTGGGTATCTTTAGGACCGGAGAGTGTCCCAGGGAGATAAGGCTGGACTAAATGAAACTCTATGTAGCAAGGTGGCTCTTTAGTTCCTGCTGCCAACTCCTAAATGCTATAAGCACAGCTATGTGTTCATTATGCCCAGCTGATTGCTTTTCAGTCCTAACACCTTTGGGTGCTAGAGAACAAAACTATTTGTATTCAGATCTCATTCCACCAAATAGCAACTGTGTGCCTTTGATCGAAAGGCATACAAGGATCCTGAGATTCATTTTGCTCCAGGTAAAGGTTGAGTTAACAGCACCAACATCATTGAGTTATTGTGATGAACTGAATTAATCCATGTAAAATGCTTGTACATGCTTAGCATGGTTCAAAATAAGCACTCAATAAATGTTAACCCTTATTATTGAAGGTAGAGTATGTAGCACAGATAAGGTTTCAACAGGTGGAAAAAGGAGAGGAGGCATTTGAAGCAGAGAAGACATGCACAACTGCTTGATGGCAAGGAACTCAGAACATGTGAAAGGAACAATAGTCAAGTTGGATGCTTTAGTACAATTGGGAGAGAGTACCAGTTAGATTGGTGGGAAACTACCCGAGACTTTGGATACTTGAGTTTCTATTTATTTGGCAGAGCATGGTACTGCCACCGTGCGTTTCTGAACTGAAGAAAGGTCAGATCTGCACTTTAGGAAGAATAGTTAGGTAAATGTGAATCAGCTGGGCAAGAATAAGAGCACACACAAAAGGGAATAAACGAAAACTGAGGTGGTGGCTGAGCGAACAGAAGGAAGGCAATGTATGTATCAAGTAACACAAACTTTGAAATCCCTTCAGAGATTTGAAATGATGAATTACATGAGATTTGAAAAGGGAAGGATGGAGTTTATCTCTTGGGGTTAACTTACACTTTGAACCAGTACACATTTTCCTCCTACCTTTCTAGAGAGTACAATTTAGAACCTGTTGTTTGGAATCCTAAATGCGTTCGTTGTATGTTCAATATTTCCATGATGCGTCGGTACTAACTGGTTTCATGCAGTAAACAGATGTTTCTTCCATCCAAGGTGGCTCTTTAGAATCATGAGGAAACCCAGTGAGAAAATCCAAACTTCCCTGTGTTTCTGTTTTCCTGAAAAATGAGAAATAGTTCCCACTGGTTGGAAGGGTTAAAAATGATAATCTTCTAAAGGATCTATCCCAATGCTTGAAGAATAGTAGGCTTTTGTGAGTCATATGTTTCTTTTCTAACATTTGACTTCACCTTTAAACAGCCATCTCATCTCTGACAGCACTTCCAGAGGAAAAGTCTTTGCTGTTCTCTAAAAGAAGCCATTATCTGGCTGTGGGGAAATCCTTGACAGCTGAGAGTTTTTTCCTCTGGTTTCAGCCGCATTTTCTTATGCCTCTGTCGGGTATACAGTTGTTCAAGTGGTGCTTTCTGGGGCTACTTACCACACCCCCTTTTTTTCTTCTGAAAGGTAGGAGCTCTGAAGACCAGAGACCAAATTTCCCTCCATCTTCTATCCCCTGGGAAATCAGCTGGGTTTATTCCATTTCTCGTGTGATAGTATTAATTAAAATATTTGTCTGCGGTTTTGAACTATACAAAATGGAGTGGCAGCACCTTAAGAGAGATGTCAATAACTGCAAAAGAAACATAATGGAAGAATGTGACAACTTTCTTTATAATGTATTATTCCTTTCAATTCTTTAATTGCATCTTTTCTTCACTAGAATATGCTTAGAAAAAAAAATGAAACTTGCTGGGGATCATTTGGTCTGTGTGTCTGAGCCATAACTGCAAGACAGTTTTCTAATTCACGTTTTTTTTTCTTATTTTTTTACAGCTGCTTGCATATAAGATGTTGGCTAGATAGATTAATTCTGGCACTAGAGAGGAAGAGAGGAAAATAGCTATTCAACTGCCTTGTGTCAGCTACATTGTCTTTGAAATTTTTCAGGAAGAGGAACCAGGGGCATAGAAACCTAAGGCAGGCCACATAGCCTTCCTTTAGTTAGATGTCTTCTTGATCTGTTCCACTTGAATGCCTTATGAAGGGAGTAAGTCATACGTCATTATTGAGAGCTGAAGCTTTTGAAGCAGCAGCTATTTTTTTCCCTGTTTCCTTTAGAGGACTGGCTCCACCCATATATTCTCCCCTAAGGTGCTTAATGGGAAGAGTACTGGTCAGTTTTATCATCAGTTTATATATGAGATGGACCATTATTATTAGAGACGTATGAGAGATGTTAGGATGGCTGTAGTCTGTCTTAGATTAGCATTAACTATATATTTTTCAGTGTTTCTCTAGACATGCTCTCTTGCAAATGATTGGCCTTCTTCATTCTGGTTTGGTGGTTTTCTCTTTTGTGACAAAGCCTAACAGAATTCCTAGTGTGTAAAACAATTATCAGCTGAGTTTTTAGTGACCGACAATCCATTCTGAAGGATTTACAGTTATTCTATATGTATCCCTAAGAACAACCTAGATGCCCTCAACTGAAGAATGGATAAAGAAAGTGTGGTACATACACAAAATGCAGTATTACTCAGCTGTAAAAACAGTGCCATCATGAGATTTTCAGGCAAATAGATGGAACTAAGAAAAAATCATTCTGAGTGAGGTAACCTAGATCAAGAAAGAGAAACACAGTATGTATTCATTCATAAGTGGATACTAGATATAAAACAAAGGATAAAAAGGATAACTAGACCACAATCCACAGCTCCAGAGAAGCTAGGTTACAAGCAGGATCCTAAGAGGGACATATAGATCACCCTGGGAAGGGGAAATAGATGAGATCTCCTGGGTAAACAGGGGGTGAGAGGTGGTAAGTCGGAGGTAATAGGAGTGAGAACATGAGGGAACAGGATGGTCCAGTTGGGAGAGGGATGGGGTGGAAGTTCAAGGAAAAAGATATCTCCATAGAGGGAGCCATTATGGGGCTGCGGAGAAACCTGATGCTAGGAAAATTCCCAGGAAACCACAAGCAAGTCCCCTAGCAATAGTGGAGAAAAGGCCTAAACTGACCTTTCCTTGTAATCAGATTGGTGACTACCTTACCTGCCATCATAGAAACTTACTCCAGAGACTGATGGAAGCAGATGTAGAGATCCACATGCAAGCGCCAGACCAAGCAATGGGAGTCCAGTTGAAGAGAGGGAGGAGGGATTATATGATGAAATGGAGACACCCACAGAGACAGTTAATCTGAACTGGAGCTCAAGGACTCTAGACCTACAGCTGGAGATTCCGCATGGGACTTAACCAGGGCCTCTGCATTTGGGCGACAGCTGTGTAACCTGGTCTGTTCATGGTACCCCTGGCAGCAAGGCCAAGTTCTATCCCTGGTGCATGAGCTGGCTTTTTGGAGCCCATTCCCTAAGGTGGAATACCTTGATCAGCCTTGCTACAGGAGGGAGGGGCTTGGTCCTGCATCTACTAAATGGGCCAGGCTTTGTTGACTCCCCATCTTATCCTTTCTGAGGAGTGGATGAGAGTGGGTTGGTGGAGGAGGAGGGGGAGAGGAAAGGAGGGAGGGGAAACTGTGCTTGGTATGTAAAAATGAATAAAATATAAAAAAAAAATTTGCAACCCATCTAAAAAGTAAAGTAGTTTCCATGTGATATTATGATGGAATCAAACAATAAGGTGTCATTATTTCCAGGAGGTTGTTAGTCACTATTGTGATTAAGCCAAAAAGAGTGGGCAGTACTCTTTCCCTTCCATGAGCCGCCTTTCCCTGACCCAGTATACCCTTTGGTATTTTTCTTGTTGAGAGATTACAAAGCCAATATTATGTTTTGAAGAAAAGAGAAGCTGGATCCTTGGTAACATAGTTAGTCCGCAGTCAGTCCTGAAGGTGGCCTGCCTCTTTGTTTATGGGAAATAGACAAGGCAGTGAGCCCTGGGTAGAGACTTACATTATAGTCTTAACAAACTATGTACATTTGTGGAAAATTGTATTTTTCCCTTGTAGCTCCAGTTTTCCGACTGGGATCATAAAGGTTGAGGTTATCTTGATAGATTCCTGTGGCATTTCATGCCTCCATAGTCCCAATTAGTTGTATCTTAAATTTTAATCAGTTGTCAAAATGAAGAAAAAAAATAAACCATAATGAAAACATATTGTCTTGTGAGTACTGAGCTGCCTGTTACTAAAGGAGTTCAGAGAAAGATGGATGATAGTTTTCTCTGATCAATAAAAACAGGAAGATAACATGACCTTTTGTGTGAGATTTTGAAAATCTAAAATGATTTCTGTAAATTATTTCACAAAAACATAACTATATGTGAGGTAATAGGTTTATTTTACCACACATTTTTTATAATACTAACCCTTTCAAGGCCTATGCTTTTTTCCTCTTTTTGAGCATTTTTTTCACATAAATTTCTTCTTTAAAATTTTTTTACTTAGCATCCAATACATTAAGTTTCATTGTGACATTTTTGTAAATGTAGATCAGTCTTTCTTATTTATGTTCGCCTTCAATTACCCTTCCCATTTCATGGGCATGGCTTTTAAATGGAGGGTGGAACACCTTTGGCAACAGCATCTCCTTCTCTCTGAATGAGCCTCAACCTCTGGGCTGATTTTCCAAGTCTCATTGTGGAGGTTTTGCCTTGGGTTGTATTACATGTGCCTCCGGCTTTATCCCACAGTTTCTGTAGGATATTTCATTCCCTGGCCTTCTGAGAAAGAAATGTCATATTTGATTACTTTTGGATAAAAAGGACTGAGGGACTCAGGGTGGTACAGTTGGTCTAGATTGCTTAGTAATCTGAACAAAGCCAAAAGTAGTAAGGGAAACCAGAAATTAGAACAGACTTTCCGAGTCACACAGTTTCCAGCCACGCATATAAAGAAATCATATCATGATCTTGATTTCTTTCTGCGATACTCTGCCAAATTTCCTTGGGAAGCTAATGAATCTCCACTTCAAGCACTCTCTGGTAGGTAATTAATTATTTATTGTTCATAGCGAAATTTCATGCTGTCTTATGGTGGTCGATACACGAATCAGTGACTCACTTAGGCTTGGGTGACAGGGAAGCAAATCAGACTGAAATATTGGCTCAACATTGCCATGACTTGTGGCTTGTCGCCAATGTCCTTTGCTCCTCTGTGCTGGGTGGGACAGTAACAATAGTCCTAGCAGCTCTTCCCATGTGAAGCCCAGTCTGGAGTTTCCAGAGCGCTTTCACATACATTGTCTCATTCTTTCCCTTGAACATATTCCAGGGCAGTTTCTGGACTTTGCTTCTACTGGGCATGACTATTTCAGCAGAAATAGAAAGGGTATGTTCCCTTTAAAATCAACCTAGAATTGACTGACTTTAATTTTATTAATTCTTTTGTTAATCATTTCTCTCTCATATATATGCATATATATGTATGTATGCATAGTTTGGTAGGTTTGACCTTTTCTTCTGCTCAATGTATTGTCTTCGAAGTTGTATTTGTGTTTTTGAGAAGTTTATCTTTTTTTGAGGGAGCTATGTGTGCAGGCACACATTCTGAAATTTCACTCTTATGATTACTGTTTGCCATTGGATGAGTAGAAGTGGCCCCGTTTACTGACTTAATTCTACTTCTACAGTGACACCTGCCTTGAAAACAAACTCTATACTTGGGCCCACCTCGGATAAGATATAACCTCTCGCTTTGTGCACTGGAATAAAGGACAACGTAAACAGGTGAGTCACTCTTTAATTGTTTACAGCTACTTTTTATTTTCCCGAAGCTGTTATCATGCACAGAAGAAATTCTTAAGCCACTAGGAAAATAGAAAAAGGAGCCAATTAAAAACTATAATAAACACCTTTGTCTCTTAATTATTTCTATGCCAGGCATATGATTTAGCAAATTAAAGCATAAAAAGATAATTTACTTTTAAAATACAGCTTCTAAGGCTCAAATCCAATTCATCAAGCTTTTGTGACAAGCACAATTACCTACCCACGAAGCTATTTTGCTAACTTGCAATTTACTTTTACACAAATCAATATGAAAATTGCACGTCTTAACCCCTTTGTCCATCCCTGTACCATATCTGGCACTAACTCTCACTTCTTAGTTATTAACGTTTTATTATGCATTAGTGTTCCCAGAATCAACTTTTCTCCTGGGTTTCCTTTGTGTGTTGGTGGCTGCTATTTCCGTTCTAGCTTTAAATATGTGTGTCACTTAACATTTTGTTTGTGGCATCCTTCTTTATCCATCTAAGTCTATCCCACTATTTACCTAGTATAATGATTCTTAACCACCAGATGTTTTGATTTAGCCATGGGTGTAGGCATTTCACAAAACTTCCCCAGTAACCCTTTTATGAGGATTATTTAAAGAAAAGTCAACTTAATGTTCAGAAAAGTTTTTTTTTCTGTTCACTGAAAATATCTCAAAAAGGAAAAAGATCAGTAAGGTTATATTTTAGTAGAACCCTGCTTTGGGAAGCATGATACACTTATGGATTCTAAACTGCCTTTGAGTCTTAGCTTTCTTCCGTTTTTAATTTTTTTTACTTTATTTTATTATTATTATTAAAAATTTCCACCTCCTCCCCACCTCCAATTTCTTTCCCCCATCCCCCCACTTCCCTTCTCCCTCCCTCTCCAGTCCAAAGAGCAGTCAGGGTTCCCTGCCCTGTGTGAAGTCCAAGGTCCTCCCCCCTCCATCCAGGTCTAGGAAGGTGAACATCCCTTTTTTAATTTTTTTAAAGTAAATTTATTCATCTATTTATCTTACACCCTTTCCTCTAAGCCCCTCCCCCACTTCCTTTTCCACTCCCCAAACCTCTCCTCCTTCATCTCAGTCCAGAAAAAGGCAGATCTCCCATGAGTATCAATAGAACATGGCATATAAAGTTGCAGTAAGACTAAGCACCTCCCCATGTATTAAGCCTGGGAAAGGCGTCCCAGTATGAGGAATAAGGTCCCAAAAAGCAAGCAAAAGAGTCAGAGGCAGCCCCTGCTCCCATATACAGTATTTGGCTTTCTTTCTTGCCATGTAAATGAACTTTAGGTAATTTCTCTCTGAGACTCATTTATTCTGTTTTGGTAAAATCTGTCTTAGCTCTCCCCTGTGGTTATTGTGAAGATCAATAGAAATAAGGGGCTCTACAAACTATAAGGTTGTTACTATTATTCTGTAGAATCTCTTTTTACCATTTGGTCAAGTAATAAATACTTACATAGTGTCTACTGTGTGACAGGCACTGTTTTAAGTATATTGAATGGGGTAGTAAATATAATGGGCACACTGATATCATAGTTACTTCTCTTTAGAGGAAAAATTGTATACATGTTAATAAGAAAAGCATAATGTCTAAGAAATTCACACATCCAATGGAGAACAATGAAACAGGAGGATTAGGGGAATTCCTGATTTTAAAATAGTGGCCAAAAGAAACCCTATTAAGGGATTATATATTAATAAAGACCTAAAAATTTGAAAGATCCAGTAAAATGTGTATATTTAGGAGAAGATTCTTGGTTTGAGAAGGTATGAAGGCCTTTCACTGAAAATATCCCTGCTTAATTTGACGAATAGCAATGAGACCACTGGGGCTGAAGTGGATACAGTAAGGAGAATTGTAGCCCCCTTGGCTAAAGATAGCAGAGGAAGTTTTAGGTAGCCAGATTCCATAAGATATCACCGGTCATTTAAAGGATTTCAGTATTTTTGCAAGTAAAAGGAAAAGCTATTGAAAGAGTTGAAAATAATGTCATCTAACATGTTTTAAAGGATCTGTTCTATATTTTTCTCCTTTCTCTCTCAGTCTACCCCCAAAAAAGAAAAAAAAATGGGTACATTACCTCTGACTATGGAAGGATGGGAATTCTATTTTACTGATTATGCTTTATATTCAAGCAATACAGAAAGTCAAAGCTAAAGGAACCCTTATAACCACACCATTCTTTAGCATTGCTGTATCTGAAAATCAACCGGTAAACTATGTAAGTTCCAGAAGCTCAGTTCGTACTTGGACTGATTATATCAGAACCTCAAGAGTAGTACCCAGATATCCATATATTTTGAAGCCTCAGAAATATAACTAAGAATGAGGACCGCTGGTCTGAAGTATTTAAAACTAATCAACCTTCTCAAGATGACTGTTCAGCTTGACTCAGCACTGAGTATCACTGTTACCTTTGGCAGAGTTGCCCCTGGGACCATTTACTCTAAGTAAAATAAGAAATAAAAAAAAAAAATGACAAATGGTGAGCAGGAAGAAGGTACGATGCTTGATAATACAGAGATCTGACAAGAGGAAGCTCAGCTAGAAATGGATCTGGCCCAGACCAGAAAAGAGAACTCTGAGAGGCACTGTCTAATCATTTGCAACAACATCTGACCTGCAGGCCAAAACATCTGGAATTGATAAAGGTACTATCCAGACTAGAAGTTTGATTTCCAAGGAAAGAATGATTCTCAAGGCCAACCTGAACCGCTGCTCTGATTTTTGACAGCCCCGAGCACATGGGTGGTGACTGGGCTTACATAGAGGAATGGACAGGGAATGGGGCAGCTGCTATCTTCATCACCCTTCTTAAATCTCAGGACTTCTGTACTGCCCAGGCAAAACAAATAGCCTAAAGTCCTGAGTTCTTAATTTAGACTCGTCATCCTCCAAGTTCTAGCCATCCTAGATAGAGACCATGCTTCATGCCACAGGCATTTCTGCAAGTTGAGAAGACCAAGAGCCACAAATGGTGGCCAGAGGCAGCTGCACACCCAGAGCCGTGTGACAACCTTACACCCAACAGAAACGTAGCCAGCATCATTTATTCAGGGCACAGTGAGCTAATGTTAGATTATTATTAATGCCAAGCTCGTTGCTTTTCTTTTTCCGGTATGCCTGCACTAACTCTCTTCTAGGTTATATTCTGAGGAATTAGGACAATGGAAAAAGGTTCACAGATTATGCAGATAGTAGAGATAGTAGAGAGAGGACAAGGAAAGAATCATTTTGTAGTCACTCCAGTCTTACTGGATAAATATTTCTGTGCACATGTTTAATAAGATATTCATTTAATAATATCATATTAAGTTCATATACATGTGCAAACACATTGAATATGAAATTGGGGTGAAAAGTTGAATGAAATAAATCATTTGGACCAAGGGGATATTTGAGTATTTAACTTGAAAAAATGAAGGTCACCTTTCTCCAAAAAACTGAAACATAATTCATATAACATAAAATTTACCATTTTCAATTATACAACTTCCTGCTTTATAATATATTACAAGGTTCTACTATGTAATTTCTGGTCATTTTCATTACACATTACATAGAAACTGTCTCCTCCTCCTAGCACATGGCAAATGCTAAACCTACTTTTTGTCTCTGTGGATTGTGTATTTTGAATATCATATAAATGAAGTCACATTATTGTCCTTCCATGTCTAGCTATCTCACTTAAGTATAATATTTTAAAGACTGATTACACATTATAGCGTACATTATATATTTTATTCCTATGAATAATGCTTTGTTGTACAGACATCAAGCTCTGTTTATCAACTTTGTTTATAAGTTGATGCTTATTTGATTTTTTTATTGTCTGTTATTATGAATATGCCACCAGGAACATATATGTACCAGGTTGTGTGTGAACATGTGCTTTCACCTCTTATCATATATATTTAGGAGTCTATGTTTAGGAAGAATTGTTATATTATAGGACAATACTATGTTTCATATTTTTAAGAACTAATAAATCACTTTCTATAAATGTTGCACTATTTAGACTCTCAACAACAGTGTATGGAATCCTAGTTGTTTACAGCTTCTGTGACAGTTGATTATTCATATTTAAGAAAAACATATAGCCACCTACTGCATATAATGGAATGTTTTCTTATAATTTGAATTTGGATTCTGACTGAGCACACATTCACGTGCTTGTCGGTCACTTGTCCTTTTTCAGAAGTGTCTGCTTAAAGGCTCAGCTTATTTTATGTTGTACTTTTTAAGATTTGAGTTGTAAGAATTCTAATTATCTTCTAGGTACAAATATTTTTTTAGTTATATGATTTGAAAATTTTAGTTGTTTGGTGGTGGTGCACGCCTTTAATCCCAGTACTTTGGAGGCAGAGGCAGGTGGATCTCTGTGAGTTGGAGGCCAGCCTGGTCTACAGAGTGAGTTTCAGGACAGTCATAGCTACACAGAGAAACCATGTCTCAAAAAACAAACAAACAAAAAACCCCAAAACAAAAATGCTGTGAGCTTATTTTTTTTATTTTATTAAACTTTCTTTTTATTTATTCTTTGTGTCTTTCAATTCATGCATGTCAATCCCTTTAGTTTTCCATCCCTTTGTATCTGGCCTCTGCCTTTGCAACCTTAGCCTCAAAATATAAACTTTAAGAGAAAGAAGAAAAAAGGAGAAAAGGAAAAATCTTGTTATGGAAGTTGCAATGTGACACAGTGAGTCACACAGTAAACCCTTTTATCTATGTATCTTTATTTGTAAGTGTTCATCACAAAGAGTCATTGGTCTGATTCTATGCTTCTGGTTTCTGCTACACGATTGATGCTGGACCCTCACTGGGACTCCTCTTAGATATCCTGTTGTTGCCCTGTGTCATGGCAATCCTGCAGCTTTGGGTCTGCAAGACCAACCCCTTCATGTGCTGCAGCAGATCATAGCAGGGGTGGATGCTGGGCTGGGCCCAACTCATAACCCTTAT